GCAATAAGCCTGTGTGTTTTTAATACAGCTCCAATCAAAGCCAACGCCGCTGCCCTTTAAAAAGCACTGATGAATGACATATGGTATAAACGCTGATATCTCCCATCATATTTTGCCTTGAAGGGCACGAGAGCAGACAGAGAGAAAAGGGTGGATGACTTTGGCAAAGATGGGGCATACAAGCAGTGAAAACGGCTTAGGCTAAAGAGAACCAGAAAAAGAGATTCCTGCAACAAATAAGAGAGCAGGTGCTGATGTAGAGAGGCTCGAGTTTGTAAAATTTCATGTTAAATGGCATGAGCCATCGTGGGCCCTTGGGGAAAAGGACTTGGCTTTTTTTTTCTGGCAACGGAGGTGAGAATAACCATGAATGATTGCTCCGCATTACTGTATGGCGTAGTCAGGAGAGCACAGCTGTCACCAGCTATTAAATCCACTTCTGCACGGACTGGTGTGGAAAAAAGGAGACTCGTTACAATGCGAGATATGCACATGATAGCCTGTTCTGTCTGAACGAGATGAGAGGAGATGCTCGTGTTTATGGATATGCCCAAATCTCATCAGACAGCATTCGCTGCGTTCATCACGACGGCCGTCTCTTTCAAGTTTCTCATCATTAAAAACTACAATCCCAGAATCACGAGGGCCTTAGTTCTGCGTCCCCCTTCCTGTCTTTCTCCTGTACGATCTTGGCATAATTACCCATGCGCTGCTTGATCACTGCACTGAGCCGGGCTTTTCATGTTGTTGTTCTGCAATTCTAGGATCAATATACAGCGGGCTGCTTCTGTTGTCAATTGAAGAATCGATCCTGGTGAATGATGACAAGGCCGCATTGCCAAAGAAAATCTCATTCCTTTACAGACGATCAAACACACTTTCAAAACATTTTTCCAGCTTGAGAGAAACCTTTAAAGTGAAAACTGAACTGAGGCTTTACAACATTCTACACGCAATAGAGATCTCTTGAAAAACAGCCACACCTCTTTCCAGTTTGGCAGAATTAGTACTGATAACAAACTACACAACATCAACTCGTGCAAACTCATAATATGACACACTCATAAAAACTAGTTTCTGCATAAACATCACGAGGTAGGGTTAATATAACGTTGACTAGTGTTGTCATTGGTTTAGTATTTTATTACATTCTCTCCGTAATTTTATTCTGTTTTGGTTCATATTATGCCACACATTCCATCATTGCCAAACTGAAATTCAGCGTTTTTCAAACTAGGAGGTCTCAAGGGGTGCTGAAATATTTTAGAAAAACAGTGTCAAAAATTTAAAAAATAAAATAAATAATAATAAAATAAATAAATTAAATTACGGTTACAATTAACCAACCGTGATATAATCAGTTTCATTCTGCTTTCAAAGACTTTTTCTGCTTAACAGTAATGGTACTGGGGTCAGTAAGATTTATTTTTGAGAGAAATCAACACTTTTTTTTTTTTTTTTTCCAAAAAAGGTGCTTTACATTGGTCAAAAGTAATAGTAAATAAATAAAATAAAGTAAAAGTAAGTAAAATAAATAATCTATTATCAATGAATCCTCAAAAAATGTATCACTGCTTCCACAAAAATATGAAGCAGCACAAATGTTTTGTTGATAATAATCAGAAATGTTTCGTGAGCAGCAAATCAGCATATTAGAATGATTTCTGAAGATCATGTGACACTGAAGACTGGAGTAATGATGCTGAAAATTCAGCTTAGGTCACAGCAATAAATAATATATATAATTTTGAAATTCAAATAGAAATTTTATTTTGAAGTGTAATAATATTTATAATTATAATAATTGGAATGGTTGAGTATATAGAAACAAATGATAGAAACTTGATAGAAGGTAAATATATTCCAAATAATAATTGACACATAATATTTTTTTTAACATTGCAAATTGATTTTTATACAAACAAATAATATAAATAATTTAATTAATTAATTTATAAAATATGATTTTCTGTGATTTTTTAATGAATTTATGCTTATATATTTTAGGAGTTTCTGCAAGGAAATCATCATATTTTGAGTTCCAACCGTTGTTTTGAAGACCCCGTCATAAGTGCCCAATTATTACTCCACATGGCAAACTCAACTCGATTCTGGCACTAACATGTTGCTAACAGCACGATATTATATTAAGCATGAAAACCACAGCACATTAGGCTAAATATTATCTGAGCTTATCACAATGCATTCTAGGGTTTCCTTTACCTCAAACACAAAGGAAACATGCGATGCTACCTGAGAATTTAAAATGCTGCCTCCCTAGTCAGTTTACTTGGTTTTGTAACAGAGCCTCTATTTATCATTCAAATCTTTGTTCTTAAAGTTTCTACGATACTTTCACTGGTAATTGTTACGGAGCCCCGCACATGGCATGCAGGAAAAAAATAGTAGGCTAAATCGTGTGCATGATTGGCTATTTCGTTCCCTCGATTTATAAATTGTGTGCACGATTTACTAATTCATTCCCTCAATTTAAAAATTTAGTGCACGATTTACTAATTCGTTCCCTCGATTTGCTAAAACGTGCACACGATTTAGCAAATCAAGAGAACAAATTAGCAAATCAAGGGAACGAAATAGTAATCGTGTGCACGTTTTAGTACATCGAGGGAACGAATAAGTAAATCGTGCGCAAAATGTATTTATTTTTTCTTGCATGTCATGTGCGGGGCTCTGTAAATTGTTGTTTTTGCTGAAAAGAATAAGTTTCACTTGAGGCCAGGTGAGGATTGTTTTGTTGGCTTTTGAATGCTCCTCTCGTACGTCGTGCTTTGGCATCAATCAACGTCTCCCATCGTTTGTTTGCGTATTAGCGCATGCGGAGCAGGCATGTCAGTCCGTCACTCTCTCTCAGGAAGGTGGGTTAGGACACTTTGCGGGTGAGGCTGACCGTAGCGTTATGAGAGCGCCTAGCCTGTGATTACAGATGTGCACTCGGAGCGTGATCAGCAGCCAGAACGCTCAGCTGTTTGAAGGACACTGACTCTCTCAGGTAATCACGGTCTCCTCTGACCCTCCTCTTGCTGTGTGGCATATTTTACATGCCAGAATACCTCAGTCTCCTTAGAGGTCAACTGTCCAATTACAGTCAGAGTTTCACCCCCATCCCCCCGGACGGCCCCCTCCTGTTTCATTCTTCTGCCTGACCTCTCTCTCTGTGACAGGAGACAAATTCAGATGAGCTTATTCAGCTGCTGGGATGAGCGGATATAAGGGTAAATACGGAAGAACGGATGACAGCTCCTCTCTCAAATAAAAACATAGCGTTTCTATCAAGCGTCAGTCTGAGGATTTGATTGGCAGCTGGCTTTTAAAATCGTATCTGCATCTCATCAAGGTGACATGCGCTGCTATGGAGAGCGAAATCTTTATAGAATTATAATATTAAATCATATTCGGGCTGCATAGTTGCTCATGACTATATCAGTCTTTTCATCGGGTCAGCATTTCAGATCATATCGCTCGAGTCAATAATATCATTTAAAATGCATGAGGGTTACAAATACTGCTTATCATTGCATGCATGTTAAATGGAGTGAGATGTGAGATCTGTTCTCAAACCTAGTGAGCTGCCTTGCTGCCTACAGAGCCAGTTGACTTCTAAGGTGGCGTCCTGACCGATTTCTGAAAAAAAAAACCCTTGTGAAAAAGAAGTACTCTTTAGCATACTTTTAAAAAGAACACCTACTACAGAAAATAACATACTTCAAAAGAATACGTCTAAAGGAAAAACTGAATTGAATGTTGTCAGACACTTGAATGTAATCACAATGAAATGAAGTCTAGTTGAGTGAGCTGTTTTGACCCACTTAAGTAGGATTTATGTACATCTTTATATGTAATTTCATAATTACTTCCATTGTCTTTGAAATATGGTTAAAGTTTACTGCCAAAGGTACTGAAATTTTATCAGCTAACAATATTTTAATTTCTATTGGAACTCATGTGCTTTTACATATATTTGCAATTACACAAGTATAATAAGTGAAAAATTTAAATATTTTACATGTGCTTAACTATGTTATCAAAACAACTGTACTTCTTTAAAGGATTATTAAAACAATGATTTAAAATGTACTTTAAAGTAAAACTTTTAATTTGACATTATTACAAAGTGCACATGTGTTAAGTGTACTTAATTGTGTTAAGAAACATCTTCATGAAAGTGTATGCTCTTTAAGGGCACTTAAGTGGCCTTTTACATTATATTATCTTTAAGCACTTTTTTTAAAATTTACTTTAAAGATTTGAAGTACACTACAAGTGCACATTTAAACAATTATGTGCTCTTCTTTTTCACAAGGGTTTACACTGAGAAAAAATATTTCTTTTTAGTGAATACTGATGGAGCAACACAATATTTATTAAAAATATCATCGACAAGTGCTACAAGTGCCCATTCAATACAATTAAGCACACTTTTTTCACAAGGTTACAGCGAAAGCATCCCATTATGACATATTTGGTAACACTCTACTTTGATAGTCCACTTTAGACACTGTACTAACTATGCTAATCAACTAGCAGGCATTAGAGTATTAGTAGACTGTCTACTTAATATCTGTTAACACTTTATTTTGTTGCTCCATCAACAGACATACTACTGACTATAAGTAACTTTGCAAGTACTTGTCAACTTATTCTACTAACCCTAATCCTAACAGTCTACTAATACACTAATGAGAGTTTGTTGACATGTAGTTGCAAAGTTATAGTCAGTAGAATGTCTAAAGTGGACTATCGAAATAAAGTGTTACCCCTTTTTTAGATATTTTTTTAGCATTGCATAAGTTATTTATAATCAATATAACTGAGCTTGTTGCAATATATTCTGAGATTGTCTTTTCAGTGAAGGTTTCATGCAACTCTGCCTTTGTATTTGGCTAAAAGAAATCTTAGGTTGCCTTAAAATGCTGCCTGTGGAGTCAGCTCATTAGGTTTTGGAACGCAGCCGAGAGAGAGAGAGAAAGAGAGACGCTCACTGGGATTGGGCGGAAAAAGAGTGCAGCTCTTGCAGTGGATGATTTCCTTCACGATGGGCATGTCTTGCGAAACCGGCGGGGGCACAATCCCAAGGCCGGGCATCATGGGGTTCATCGGAGCAATTCCAGTCATCATGCCGAGGCTGGGGTCAAAATCTGCAGGAACAGAAGAGAGGACATCACAAAGGACTGTGTGAATAAAAGCCGCTTCAGTCTGCTACCATTCTGGTGTGGCACAAATTAAAGCAATGAGAGCGAAACGCTCTCCCTCGAAGACAAATAAACACATAAGTCTAATACATATTTAAAAGGCTTTCCGAATGAATAGGTTTTTACTGACTCATTCCCCCAGCTGTTTGCCTTGGCTTGTTACTATGCACAAGTGGTCCATCTGTGGGCAAAAAAAAGTGAACACTGGCTTTCATTTACAGGTATTGGTTTAGACTACAGCTGCATGACAGCGTGGAGCTCTTTGAAATGGAAATGACGAAGGCCTCGCTCTCTGCGGTCTCTCCTGCACCTGTGGAGAGTTTATACGTCTGTCTAACCTTACTAAGATCACTCAACTCACATACTTCACATATTTCCCTTATTTGCAGCCATATAAGATAAATAAGCTCTGCCTCTGGCATGGGGAAAAAATAGCAAAGAAAGTTCTGAGGGTACAGATCTATGAAATGTAAATCGCACGTAAGTAAATAATGCAATAACACATTTCAGGGTTCATACTGAAGCCTAAAATCTCTCTACACAAATAATAAAAAAAAAAGTTCTAAAATATTGAAATAAAACAAAATAAAATGGTTAAGACAAGACAAAAATTAGCAGAAAAAATGTGTCAGTTTGAGGGGCAAAATCAGTTCAAAAGTAACTAATGCCTTGAACTAAACAAATAAACAAGACAAATTAATAAAAAGTAAAAAAAAAAATATATATAAATAATATATAACTAGCTTTATATAGTACAATTTCTACACTATCTATCCATCCATCCATCCATCCATCGATCTATCTATTTCTATCCATACATCCATCTATTTCTATCTATCTATCTATCTATCTATCTATCTATCTATCAGATAAAAGGACAGAGAAAACTAGAAATCTATTACATCAGACAGCCTAATTTAGTGTTAAGAAAATCTATTAGGGGATAGTAATAGACATTGAGATAGGAAAGCCAAATATGAAGAGATGATGGTCTGTGAGAACTGCTGGGCATGAAGCTGTGTCACAGGAGGGTCAGTCTGGAGCGTGTAGATAAACTCTGAACTGGCAGACGTGTCAGGAGACAGGTCTCTCTAGAAGAACCAATAACAGAAGTGGGATAGGACGTGCAGCATGTAGAGACAGAGGAGCTGACCGCCACATCGCCTGCCTTAATGACTCTGTTAGTATTGATATTTCTGTCTCTCTGCCACTAATGGAGGCAGAAGAATCTATCTATCTATCTATCTATCTATCTATCAGATAAAAGGACAGAGAAAACTAGAAATCTATTACATCAGACACCCTAATTTAGTGTTAAGAAAATCTATTAGGGGATAGTAATAGACATTGAGATAGGAAAGCCAAATATGAAGAGATGATGGTCTGTGAGAACTGCTGGGCATGAAGCTGTGTCACAGGAGGGTCAGTCTGGAGCGTGTAGATAAACTCTGAACTGGCAGACGTGTCAGGAGACAGGTCTCTCTAGAAGAACCAATAACAGAAGTGGGATAGGACGTGCAGCATGTAGAGACAGAGGAGCTGACCGCCACATCGCCTGCCTTAATGACTCTGTTAGTATTGATATTTCTGTCTCTCTGCCACTAATGGAGGCAGAAGATAAGATGGCCCTCAGTGGTATGGATGCCACGGCTTCTGCTGTGTATTCTAGTTCAAGTCTAAATCAGTACCACATAATTAGGGCTTTTCCTGCATGGCCATTTTTTTTCAGCTGCCACAATGCAAAATTGTAGCTTGCCAAAGCAAATTAAACTATATATGACCATGGTTTTGTTTTAGTAAGTGTAACTGTTTTATAAACAGAAATGTCACAGATTCATTAGAGGAATAGTACATCAAAAAATGCTAATTTGCTGAACATTTACTCACATTTACATTGGAGTTTGTGTCATAGGGTATGTTTAGTTTACACAACAACAGTTGTACTAAAAATGGAAAACTTTTTCCTTTGTGTTCTTAAAAAGTTTTGTGTTTAGACAACAGCGAAGTCAAACGATCCCCAGGGGATCCATCAGTAGATGGCAATGTCACTTTATAAAGAAACACTTCACGCCTGCACACATACACATTCCTACAGACTGAACACGGCATTTTTGCAAATGTGTGTTTTTGTACTTTATACAGAGACGATGATGATATTGTTTTCATGAACTTGCATTCTGAAACCCGTTTTCAAAAGTTAGCATTTTCAGGCCCCCATAATGCTGTTGATGTGTAAATGAATGAGCAAAATGCAGTAAAACCTTCTTAATTGCATCAGATTAGGAAAAATGGATCATCTGCAGTGAATGGGTGCCGTCAGAATGAGAGTCCAAACAGCTGATAAAAACATCAGAAGCAATCCACACCACTCCAGTCCATCAGTTAACATCTTGAGAAGCTAAAAGCTGCATGTTTGTAAGAAACAAATCCATCAGTTGTTTCAACTCTATTCCATCACTTCAAAATACCAGTCCATGATCCATAATAATGCCTCCGCCAGCAAAAAGTACATCTCCTGTTGTTTCTCACATCAAAATCCATTTGGAAGCAATGGTTACAAACACAAATGTTAACTGATGGACTGGAGTGGTGTGGATTACTTGTGGATTACTGTGATGTTTTTATCAGCTGTTTGGACTCTCATTCTTACGGCACCCATTCATTTCAGAGCATCCATTGCTGAGCAAGTGATGCAATGCTACATTTCTCCAAATCTGATGGAGAAACAAACTCATCTACATCTTGGATGACCTGAGGGTGACTACATTTTCAACATTTTTTAATTTATTTTTTATTTTTATTTTTGGGTGAACCATTCCTTTCAATAATCAATTAGGAACAAGAAAGTCAACTGCATTTTTATCACAACTGTTGTTCTCAGATATTTTGAAAAACAGGCTTGTTTGCTTTCAGATATTACAAGATATGAGTTAAATCATTAAGAGAGTCTGATGAAAGGAAAACAATATCTGTGAAAGAGCAGGAAACAAACATTCTCATTAGAAACACATTCCCAGCTCAGTAGTGGTCTACTCAGTCAGAATATTATAACCAGCTCTATATAAATAAGGTGTTAATTATGTTGAGTTAGTTTGACTTCTTTCAGCAATTAGATTTCTGGGCTGAAATCTGGGCTGAATTTAAAAGACTCAGTGTGCTTCAATCATGAATAAATTTTAGTTAAAGCTGCAAAAGCGTAACTTTTTTTGGTTAAAAATGATCTGAAATCAATATTTGAGCAAGTACATAACCAGCCAGTGTTCAAAACTATCGCCTTACTTTAGCTCGATTCACAACGGTTAGCTTATAATAATGTTTTCTAATTTGAGTGGTACGGGTAGGTTTTTAGTGGGAAATTCGAGCATGGCACTGCGTCATTACGTCACGTCTGTAAACATAAAGAAGTTGTCCCGGCTAGTAGGCTA